TTTTCAGGGATTTTCTTAGACAGACATGTGTCTTCCATAACAAGGGAGTTTCTGCCAGAAAAATCTCTGACAATTCTATGCAGAAGGTGGTGTGTGTGGTTTTGCTTGTCTTCTGACTTCTTCCTATTCTAGAATTCCAATCACACATACTGTGGATTGCATCCCACATGATTAATAGGCTTCCTTCGTTCTTACACCCCTATAAGTCTATGTTAAGTAATTAATTCTCTAATTCACTGATCTTATCTCCAGTGTATTTAATTCTATTCCTTTATCTTTCCAATGTGCTATACAGCTCTGAAATTGTACTGTTAAACTACTTGCTATTTCTGTACGGCTTTGAGATGCCTATTTATTTTGTCATTTTCCTGGATCCTTCCACCACATTTGTGTTTTTCTTCAGGGAGGGTTGTTTTGTTTTGAATTTATTTTAAGGTGTCTGTTGCGGAGCCATCAGTCCCAGTAAGCTGCACTACGGACCTAAAGGCTGCATGTCTCCCTTGCTTCATATACACCAGCATTTCTGTGAGAAGATGGGCTGTCTACTGCTGTCTGTACCCATGGAAACTGGATGCAGGGTCGCTGAATTAAAATTAACGTGACCACACTGAGAGTGCATTGTCTCCAAATACTATGGTACTACTGTATTTTTTTTGTTGATTAAATATTGCTCTGATTCACTCTTATTTTCTGTTTTATTTTTACATATGGAAGGAGGTGGAATGTTTGAGTCTTGTCACTGGTTTGGCAGAACTGGGGCCCTCAGGAGGCGGGGACCTGTGTCCAGGTGAGTGGAGTCCTGGGTGGACAGGAAGATGGGAGTTCTGCTTGCTGATCACGCAGAGCAGCTGGGGGTGGGGTGAGCAGGTACTGTCCACTGTCTACTAGTGAGTGGTACAGGAGCAGGTGGTGGCACTAAGCCACTGGGTGGGGCAGCAGGTGGCAAACATGGCAGGCGTGGCTGACTAGTAAGGACACAATGTTCAACTGCTAGGAGTCAGGGGGAAAAGCAGGAAGATGATGAGTCAAAAGAAAGGAAGGAGGAAAGAAATGGGAGAAAAGAAAAAGGGAGAAAGGAAAAAAAGAAAAGAAAAAGAAGACCGCACAGAATAGACATGCACTCTTCCAACAGCTCAGAGTATGAGCACATGAAGCCCTGTCCTCTGAGGGGGGATACACTCCACACAAAATCCGAGTGCGCGCTCCCCCAGTCACCAACGGAAATGGTTCAGCAGTGCACACACAGTGCGTGTTCCACGGGAGGGCATGACAGCAGCCCTGGAGGCGGCTGGTCAGCTACAATCTGTGCAAGTGTACACGCCAGCTGTAGAGGTAACAGACATGTGGTCTGTGGGAGTACACTGTCATTCTTTGGACAGCAGGGGGGAGTGCTGGGGTGGAAAGGGTACAATACGAATAAACTAGACAGGAGGGGGATTTGTAACTAGCTGCAAGGTTGGTGGAAATAAGGGGCACATATTCCTGGCTGCCAGGAAGGTGTGGGAATGAAGGTAGAAGAGCTCACTTTTCTCTTTGCGGCTGACTGACAAGGGCCTAGTGCACTGCTGGCTGTGCATGGTCAGTTTTATGATTCCTGCTCCAGCCCAAGTTGGAGGTGGTGGTGTTGTGTGCCATCAAGTCGCTTGCGACTTATAGCGACCCTATGT